CCATCCCGGCACGCGATGTCAGGCGCGGAGATCGGGCCGACCATCCCGCGCTCACGAAGGGCCTCAACGATGCGATGCTCGCCTTCCGAGGCCCAAACCCGCGCCGAAGTCGGCGCCGCACGGCGCAGCGCAGGCGGCAGCAGCACCAGCCCAGGATCCAGCAACGCGTCCCGCACGAAGCCCGTCGCGACGTCGGCCGCCTCAATCGAGGCCGCAACACCAGGCGGCGGCAAGCCGTCCAGCACCTGCTCCAGGGTCAGCTTGTGAGGCGCGGTGATCTCGGCGCCACCGTAGCCGATCTTGCGGTCCGTCAGGCGGTCCTCCCAGTCGAGCTCCGCAGGCAGGCTGGTCTCGACGCGCGCCGCCAGGTACAGGCGGCGGCCCAGGGCCGCCAAGGCTGCCCGCTGAGCAGCGTTCGGGCGCCTGCGGCAATGGCGCGCGAACTTCAGCGAGCGAAAGCCTGCATCTCAGTTGAGCGCCAGCACCGTGACAACCAGCCTGCAGTGGAGTGCCTCCCAGTTCAGGTCGCTAAGGTCGTCGCCGTCGCGCACGACGTCGGTCTTCACGATGGTAGGGTACGGTAACGGCAGCAAGTCACGTTGCAGCCGACCTCCCATGGTGGCCATATGCTCGCGCAGCTGAGGTTTGAGGGAGTCGCGGACGTAGCGACCGAACGAACCGGGGAAGTCCCTGACAAGGTTGAGCAAGGGCTCACGGAGCAAATCACCAGCAGCACACGCAAGTTCCCTCCAGTCCTCCAGAGGATCGCGTCGAGGAAAATCATCATGAGCAGTGGGAGATGGCGATCCCTGAGGGGCAGCAGCGCAGTGGTCAGGTAGCGAACGAGACGGCGAGGCTCCAGGCGGTCCGCGCGGCGCAGCAGCCTGCAAAGGAGCGGCCGCTGCAGCCCGGGCGTCATCAGCAGGGGCATCGTCACCGCGCGCTCTCACCGCGCCGCCGCCGGGGGGCCAGCCCTGCGGCCAGCCGCCGGGCGGGGCCGCGAGCCGTTGGCTCTCCCTGCGTTGCGGCGTCTCGGGCGAGCGCGCCCTGCTCCCTGGGGCGCCGCCGCCGCCGCTGCTGGCTCGTCCTGCCTGAAGGTGTGGCGCTCGGGGCTCCCCGCCAGCACAACTCGGCGCGGGTGAGGGCTGTCCCCTCGGGGGGTCCGCTCCGCCTGAGGGGGCGGAGTCCGCGCGCGGGGGCCTGAGGGCGCTGCGGCGGGCCCCTCCTCGGCCCGAGGCGCTGCGGCTGGCGACCCTGGAGCGCGAGCGGGGCTGCCCCCTCGGAGCGGGAAGTAGCGGAACCGTCCGCGGCCTCGACCCTTGCCCTTCCCGCGCGAGAGTTCCCGCGCTGGCTGAGGCGCGGGTCGAGAGGGGGAGCGCGGCCGCTGGCCCTCCCGCGCCCCCCCCCCCCCCTCGGGTCACCCGCGCCCCTGGCCGCGGCCGAACGCCCCGAAGGCTCCGCGGCTCCTTGGCATCCTCCAAGCGCCTCCGCAGCAGCGCCGAGCGCCGCGCCAGATCCTGCTCGTCCATCGACGCCAGCGACGGCCTCACGTCTGGGACAATCTCGAGCTCGCTCGCAACCTGCCAGCCCGCGTCCGACAGAGAGAGCTCTAGCGCCTTGAACCTCTGCATCAGCACGTCGCTCAACTGCGGCAGAGCGCCGCTCTCCAACTGGTCCAGCGCTGTCGCCAAGGTCTGGAGCTCGCGCACCGCGTTGATCCGCAGCTGGGACACGGGGTGGTGGCCGAACACGATGGCCTGCAAGTAGCCGACCACCTTCGGCCTCGTCTCGGAACCGTCCGCCCCCTCCCGCAGGCCCATGACGCGGGCGATGTTCTGCATCGCCTCCAACCGCAACCGGGCGACACATTTCAAAGCGCCCGCGGGAGCGCGCAACCGCAACCGCAACCCGGCGACACATTTCAAAGCGCCCGCGGGAGCGCGCAACCGCAACCGCAACCCGGCGACACATTTCAAAGCGCCCGCGGGAGCGCGCAACCGCAACCGCAACGGCAACTGGGCGACATTCTTCAAAGCGCCCGCGGGAGCGCGCAACCGCAACCGCAACCGGGCGACACATTTCAAAGCGCCCGCGGGAGGGCGCACCCGCAGGGCTTCAAGGGGGTCGATTGCGCGTGCACTTGTGCGTAAGCTGCCCGCGGAAGGTGGCGTGCAGGCGCCTTAATGCGGTCTGCCGCGCGAGCGGCTTGCGTGATCCACCGCGCAAGGTCGTCGCGCAATCGAGTGCAACCCCCCTTCTGATCGTTTCTCCCTGGGGGGTCAGGCGAATGGAATTGCCTCAGCCACGTCTCGGCCACGCTCGTGGGACTGCCCCCCGCAAGGTTTCAAGGGGGTCGATTGCGCGGGCACTCGCGCGCATGCCGCCCTCGTAAGTTCGCGCGTCTGCCGCGCGAGCGGCCTGCGTGAGCCACCGCGCAAGGTCGTCGCGCATTCGAGCGCAACCCCCCTTCTGATCGTTTCTCCCGGGGGGGGTCAGGCGAGTGGAGTTGCCTCAGCCACATTTCGGCCACGCTCGTGGGACTGCCCCCCGCAGGGTTTCAAGGGGGTCGATTGGGGGCGGGGGGCGGCAAGGAGAAGAAGGAGGAGCCACTGGCGGAGGGCCCGACGACGAGCCCCCGCGTGGCCCGCGGTTCTCCGCCGGGACATTGCAGCGGGGAATCCCTATTCCACGCTGCTGCCCTTGATTTTGTTGGCCACGTGGGCCACACGAGTGCTTGTCGAAGCACGGCAGGGGCAGCCCACGCGGGCGCTCGCAGTAGTCAGGGACGCACCTGACGAATTGCACGGACGCAGGAGGGGGGGACGCACGAGGGCAGGGCGGCCGCAGAGGGAGCGGACGGGGTGGGGGGCGCTCACAAGTGACAGAATTTCACGGCGAGCGCGCCGGATGGCCAGCCAGCTGCGGCGCCAGGGCAGTAGACGCGGGACGGCATCGCGGCCTCATCCAAAGACTTTAGCCGGGGCCGCAGGCGCTGAAACAGTGGAGCAGGTTGCTAGCACACGCCAGTACAGAAGCCCTGGGAAGCTGCCAGGAACGAGTGGTACATTTGGATGTTCGTCACATGGCCAAGCTGCGTGAGGCCTTGCTGTACTGGGCTAGCGCCCACTCGATGCGAAACCAAGATTGGGCCTCAGCGGCAGCGCGCGGCGTCCGCGCGGGGCTGCGCTGAGGCGGGCGCGGGAGGGGGCGGGGGGCAAGAAAACGAACGGAAAAAAGTACGGAAAATGAGCGCCCCACCCAACCGGTTCACGCGTCACAGCTGGGCGGGGCGGCCAGCGGCCGCAGGGGCGACTGAACGACGCGGCTGGGCCCGCGGAGGGGCGCCAGGGCGGGGGGCGCCCCTCGCAGGGGGAGCGCGCGGGGCGAGGGCGCGCCCGGCTGAGGAGGGGGCCGCCAGAGCCAAAGGGCACAAGCGCCAGGGAGCGGGCTACCATAGAGGGCAGCCAGCGGCAAGGAGCGTCCGATATGCGCAAACTCTTGTGGACCAGGGAGCGCGCCGCCTTCGGGCGCGGTCGCGCAGGCCAGGGCATCGGAATGGCGCAAGCACTCGCGAACGCCGACCAGGGAGCGGGCCGCCTTGGCGGGCAGCCCACGCACTCACTGCGCGAACTCACTCACCCACTCACACCCACAGAGGCGCGCCCCCCTTGGAGGGGGAACGCACGGATCAGGCAACTAGGCGGCGCGAGCATTGCCAGCGGGCACACGCGCCAGAGAGCGCGCCCACGTCGGAAGGCAGGCGCGAGTGCCGGGGCACCAGAACGGCGCAGAGGGGGGCGACGGAGCCACGCCAGGGGCACGCGGCGCAGCCTGCCAGCAGCCGCAGCACAGGAGCTCGCCTGGCGCCGCGCACGCGGCGCCGCGAATCTGACCGCTGCGGGCGCGGCAGCGGACTTCAGGCTGGGCATGCCACGCGCGTCGGCCAAGCTGGGCCCTCATGCTCGAGAAGGGCCGAGCGCGGCTGCGTCGCCGGGGCCGCGCGCAGACGAGCAGCGCACTCTGGGCCCAGACAGCGCCGAGGTCAAAGTGGCGCAGCGCGTCGTCGTCCCGGGCGCCGCCAGCGTCGCAGGTTGCCGCCGCCGCCCCAGCGTCGGAGCCCACGGCCTCCTCGACCTCAGCCGCCTCCGAAGACGCGCCGGCCACTGGAGGGGCCAGCATGGCGTCGCAGCGTTGGGCGGGCGCTCTGGGCTGCCAGGAAAAGCCCGTCGCCCCGATCCCGACGCGCCTGCGCGACCAGGAGGTGAACGTTTTTCAAGGCGGGCCACCAACGCGGCGACGAGGCAGAGAGGCGCCCACGGCGGGGGCGGGGGCGAGCGAACGACTTCGCGGTTCTCCGGCCCAAGAGCGCCGCTGGTCGCATCTCGGCGCGCCTGAGCGCGCCCAGGGGGGGCCCACGGGTTCTGGCGCCGCCGTCACAGGGGGCGCCAATGATCGCGGCAATCGCCTGCGGCACGGCAACCTGCCCCGAAGGGGGCGGAGAGCGGTTGGGAGGAGGGGCGAGGCGAGGTCTAGGAGCACCACTGACCGAGGCAACCGCTTGCGGGACATCCGCCCGCTCCGACTGACGTTGTCGGGGTCGCTCTTGATCTCCCGTCCGATTGTCTTGCGAGCCCCCGCTTACCCCGCCGCCAAGGCCCGCGCGATCGCCGGGATCGTTCATTCCTCTCGTCACAGCGGGGTCGCCACCAGCCTCCTCGATCGACTTCGCCGCCGCAGCCCGGCGGCGCAAGCCGCTGATCGCGGCAATCACTGGCGGAGAGCCGCCGGCCCCTGGAGGGGCCATGGATCGCGGAGTTTGCCGGGGTCGTCGCCGCTGGCGCCGCCCCCAGGAGGGGCCAACGCCAGGCTGCGATGGACGAACCGAGAGCCAAGAGCGCCACGGAATGTGACAATCACCTCAGGCAAGCCACGACCTGTTGGAGGGGACGGAAAGACTCTGGGAGGAGGGGGAAGGGGAGGAGCGGTGGAACTGTCGCCATTCAACGCGCTCTGGTTTCTGACGCCGCCATCGCCGCAGATCGCGTCGCGTCGGAGAAGCCCACGTTGAGGCGCAACGGTGCGAGGGTCTCCTGGGGCCACCAAATCTCCAGGAGAAGGCTGCAACAGGGCCTCCACTTCAGCCGAGGCGCCTCCCAAACAAGTGTCCACTGAGCCAGCGGGGCGCGCGCGAACTGCGCGGGGTTCACGAGCTGCGCCAGCGACAAGCTTGCAGCGCCAACCATATCTGAATTGCCACCGCCCGCAAGCTCAGAAGACATGCCCGCCTCCAGGAGAGTCTCAACCTCAGCCCACCATTGGCTTACATGATCAGAATGCACGCCCACGCCTAGGGCGATGGACATCGCCCCTGCACCAATGGAGCCACGCGCGACTCCCGATGAAGGCGTCGGAGGGGAGGAGGCGCCTTCCAGAGGTGCGAGGGCAAGACACATACCCCACTTCAGGAGCGCCACGGCCTCCGCCGAAAAGCTGATACTCACGAAAGGAGGGCGTCTATTGCGGCTCGTAGGCTTGAATTCTTATGGGTTCAGGGCCCGTCGCGAAGTGTGTTTCAAAGACTTGATACAAGCAGACTCGCGGCCCTGGGAAGCACCGCCTCGCCTCCGCAACTGCGCCCAGCACCAGCATGCTTCCCAACAGTTGCATCAAAGGCGCCGGGGGCCCAGCAGGGCCCCAGAAGTTGACGCTTGCAGTTGCAATCTGGCCCACCGCCAGAGGGCAAACTCCTGTGAGCACCTGGAAATGACCACTCACAAGGGGGTTCTGCGCCACACACTTCCGAGGTGGTCAATGCAATTCAAGACGTGGAATGGCAGAAAAATCTCGCACCACACGCACGCAAGAAGCAAGACAACCTCCTTTGTCGGCGCCCCGCCCGACCATCATCTCGTTCGGAACTACAGAGCCGTAAGTAGCGAGTCCCATATGGACTCTTACACCCGTCAGTGAGAAGAACGACGTCAGCATGACAGATGAACTGGGGGACAAAAGGCATACCTCATCGGGCACGGACAAGGACATGCACAAACTGCAATTAAAGGAGGCTTCAGCTTCACAGCCGGACAACAACGAGAGAGAACATTCATCAGCTGCAGCCAGACAAGGATGAAGATGCAGCACCACACTTTGAAGCACCAGGGGACGCACAATGCCCAAAAAGATAGCAAGAGCAGGTGCCCGCAAAGTGAGGCCACCATCTGTTAAGCCCACTGCTGCAAAATATTCGATGCTGGACTCTAGCGACGTCTCGTGCGCCACATAAAGCAAACTTCATGGCCGTGACAGATGTGAATCAGAAACAGAATCAAGAGGTACGGTGGGCACAGAACCCGTCGTGCTTCACGCATCACGGACATGATAATTGGCCCGCCCAAGGCCAGGGAAGCACCGTCACGCCCCAACAGCTGCACTCACCCCTGGAATGCTTCCCTGCAGCTGCTTCTAAGGAGCCGGTGACCCAGCAGGGCCCCAGAAGCACACCGGGTCCTGCAATGGCGCCAGGCAGCCACGCAGCTTGACGGTGATATCGGACATGATGTGGCCCTTGGTCGCCAACATGGTCGGGCGGCCGTGCTCAGACTGTCAGCCTGGAGACCAGCATGGTCCCAGAAGCCGGCCGTGTTCTTCTGATCGCCGAAGTCGTTCCGCGCGGCGCCAAGGCCGCCACCTGGCACGAGGCCAAGCATGGCGCCCAGCGGGGCCGCGGCACTGGCGGCGAGCTTGGCCACCCAGGCGAAGGCGGCCACTGCCGACCAGAGCCCCACGGTGGCCGCCGCCGCGGCGGCGTCGGCAGCAAAGCCGGCTGCACGCGCTGCGCCGGAGGCGCCCGCCGCGCCCACAGCGCACGCCGCGCAGGCGGCGCCAGCCGCCGCGGCTTCCTCGGCGCACGCCGGGCCCGCGGCGCCCGCGGCGCCAGCGGCGCCCCCGGCGCCAACGGCGGGCAGGGCGCCCGCAGCGCCCGCGTCGCGGCGCCCGCGGCGCCCGCGGCGCCGGCGGCGCGCGCCGCGCTGGCAGCGCCTGCGGCGCTGGCGGCGCCCACGGCGCCGACGGCACAGGCCGAGCCCGCGGCTCCCGCGGCGCCCGCGGCGCCCGCGGCGCCCAGCGGGCGGGGGGCCGCCGCCCCGGGCGAAAGCAGGCCTGCTGGGCTCCCTCGGGCAAGAGCGGCTTGAGCCAGAAGGGCACGGAGGGGCCACACAGACTTTTTTTGGTCGCGGCCGCAGGCGAGAGCGCAAGCGGCGAGTCGTAAGTCTGGGGCGCGGGCCTACGAATTGACAACAGGAGCAAACTAGAGCCGCGCACCTAAACTGCCTAAGCTGCCTAAGCGGCGCCTCAAGTGAGCTGCAAGCTGCTCTGGGTGTGGATGCCAGGGGCCACACGGACGCGCAAGCACAGAGTCCGGGAGCCTGAAACATGCGATCGCCAGGCGGCCAGAGGGCAAAGGGAAGGCGATATCAGATGGGCTGGGTACCTAACGTGCGTTTGGGCCTCTCACCTGAACCTCCCCAAAACAATACCGAATCTCGTTACCAAATACCCGAGCTACAAGAAAATCAGCCGTTGTGATTCTCGCAACGCTTAGATTTTAGAAGCTCCGTTCTACTCCATGAACAAAGCCCCATCCACGGGACCGTCGGGACCATCTGGTTGAGCTGCGTCCAGGCGTGGCCACGAGGGACCCCCAGAAGGTCAGACATCGGCTGCACGCAAGAGTGACCCTAGGCAAGAGTGACTTTTGGTGTGCGGCTCTGAGGGGGGCGCGGGGGCGGCGGCAGCGGCGGACGATGGAATGGGTGTCCAAGCCGTTCTCGACAAGCTCTAAATGGACGTGAAGGACCATGGCGGGGGAGGGGCGAGGGGAGCGGGAGAGGGGGAGTGGGGAGGGGGGGCAGAGGGGGAGGAGGGAGGCAGTGCGAGCCCCGAGCGCGCTGGTCAAGGCATTTGCAGTGTTCTCTATTGCGTGGCTATTGCGGACGTTGGAATTCTCGCTCGCATATGCCAAGATTGGAACCAGCAGATTGTACTTGCAAATGTTGTGGCTCTCGAGGCCGAGACTTGTCAGAGCTCCGTAATCATTCGTTGGCTCATCTACCTTTCCGAGTTGCTGCACGTCCTCCGTGCCTCACCGAACCGATTCATGCCAGACGGACCCGAAAGCGGCGATGTCCAGATGCCAGAGTGGATGAAGCCTGGAGCGAGGAGGGCGGACGCGGGTGCTGCATCGGCGGCGGAGGTCCGAAAGGGCGAAGGCAAGGCAGCGGCTGGCGGCGGCAAAGGAGGCACCAAGCGGGAGAAGAACCTGCACGCCCTCTTGCTCACGCTCGCCAAGCTCGTCCTCACAGGCGCCAGGCAGCTGGCTTCCCTCGAGAACGTCTCGCACGGAACTTACATCGTCAACGAGGCGGCAGAGAGCTCCCTCGGCAAGTGCTGCGCGGAGGCGGGCGCAGAGTAAGACGCTGGCTCGAAGGTCCTGCGCGACAGGAAGGCGAAGGGGGAGGAGGTGGACTTCAAATCGAGGGGGCCACCATACGTGACGGTATTCATCAAGGTCGTCAAGCGCGTGTTGGACAACACCTCGGAGCTAGGCGGCCACCCGAACAGCAAGACGTACACGACGGTGCGGGAGTACTGGGAGTCGACGGTGATGAAGCGCTCGGCGAACGAGCTGGCGATGGATGTGCTGCACTTCAAGTATCGCAAAAGGCCAGCAAGAATCAGGAGAAGGGAGTTCGTTCGTTGGCGGCTTCTCAGCAGAATCCTTCGGTGTGCAGCATGTGGCAGGCAGTCATGGAGCATCTCATTCAGCACGACAAGCTGGAGCGCACTACCGAGCCAGCACCGAGGGGCCCGCTCGAGAGGGAGGTTTCGCGGATCCTCAACGAGATGCAGGGAAAGGACGAGGGCAAGGCCGAGGGGTAGCATCACAGTGAAAGGCTTGCTGATCTTGTGAGGAGGGGAGTTGTGCCATCTTCTGTGCTCGATCCTTCGATTGTCACGTATGCCAGTGATTCTCTTCCCTCCGTTCCCGTCGCTCAGATCCTCCCTCCCCCCAAGGGAGAAGGCAAGTGGGCTGCTGGCCGCAGTAGGCGAGTGGAGTCTGCAGGTGCTGGCCTCCCGCCGCCGCGGGGCCCCGTCGGCACAGGCCGTTGGAGGCGCGGGCGCGGGAAACGCGGCTGCGCGCCTGTGTGCGGATCGCCTCCGAGTGGGGCAGCGCGGGCCTCTGCCCGAGTGGCCAACGGGCTGCTCGGAACTCCCAGAGGCAATACACTGTCGTTTGACGACGCCCAGGAGTCATCGGCCAGGCCACCGTAGCTTGAAGTTGACTGCTTCCCAGGGCCAAGTGGTAACTGGTAACTCCTCCTCCTCCTCCTCCTCCTCCTCCTCCTCCTCCTTCTCCTCCTGCTCCAGAACCGCACAACACACAAACTTTCGGAAGTCCGCGCGAATGTTTTGGATGGACGCTTCTTGGATCGGCGCCGGACACTGGACCCACCTACCCAGCGGCCCTAGCATCAGGTCGGGCATGTCCTCCTATAGGGAGAATTTGAACGAAAAATCAGAAATACAAAAAAATACTGAAAATATGTTTAAAATACTCAAAAATCGTCGCCCTACTATTTTTTGCTGCTTTTGAATATTCCTCCTGTAGAGGAATAGGCCCGACTCAACCCTAGCGCGCGGAGCGCGCCAGGGGCGGCGCCAGAGGCGCCGCCAGGGAGGTCCAGCGCCGACCCAAGAGATCGTCGCAGACCGCCGTGGGCCTCCGAAAGTTTGCGGCTATGCCGTTTGACCTTCTCGCCGTCGCTCGGACGTGCATTCCACGTGTATGTTTCGGCTTCGTGCGTTTGATTTTCGAAAATGATCCAAGATGCTCCTCCTTGGTCCTCGCCAATGAAAAAATGCACTCGTCCGAGCGATGCCCAGGCCAGCGAGGTCCAGCGCCGACCCAAGAAATCGTCGCGGACCACCGCGGACCTCCGAAAGTTTACGGCTGTGTCCCGTTTGTTCTTTTCCGAGAGGAGAGGGAAGGCTCCTCCACCCAGCACCGCCCCGCCAGCGCCTCGTACCGCGGGTCGTGGCAGCTGCTCCTGCCGCCCCACTGCGCAGCCGCCGCCGCCGCCGCCGTCTTGGAGGCACTCTTGGGGCGCTCTTGGCGCGTTCGGGGCCGTCCTGGACGCGTGTAGCAGCGATCTGGGCGCCCATGTTGGGCCGTCCAGGGCATGTCTTGGCCATGCTGGCGGTCTCAGGGCGCCCCTTGGATGTCGAAAGTGAGACGTCGACGATTCCTGAAGCCCAAATCGCCCCCCAGAGCTCCCCCACAGAGCTCCGAAAAACAGGGCCCCGGACCCCCGAAGGCTACATTGGGTACCCGGGGGGTGGGCCCACTTGTCACTGTGTGCTGGCGGGGGGCCCAGAGCACCAGCAGTCCGACATCGTGCCATAGACCCCGCAGCTGCGGATAGGAGTGAAGGGGGCGGCTGGGGGTCGTCGGCAGTCTGCGAGGCTCGGAAGAAGCCCGCCGCAGGCGCCGATGTTGTGCCACTTGCGCAACGAGCCCGCCGCAGGCGCCGATTTTTCGACAAAGAGATGTGGCCGGGTCGCGGGTGGGTCGCAGAGACTGGCATCAGCCACGCAACGCCCGACAACTGCCCTCGACGTGCATGGTTTCCCCCAGGGCCATAGGCGACCCGAGGAGGAGAAGGCGGAGACGGAGACGGAGGAGGAGGAAAAGGAGGAGGAGGAGCGCACGTGCCTCGGAAAGCAATCCTCCATCTCAGGCGCCCGTTGCAATTCTGGCGCCTCTCAGAATCTTCAAATGAGATTCGAGATCACGAGCAGAACCATGTGCAGCATCCTGTTCTGCTTTTAGTTTATGGTAAAAAGTGGAAAGCCAGGACCACCAAACAGTGAGCGTCCGCCCTCGAGAAGAGACGGTCATACTGCCCCTCGTCTCCAAGCCCAATCCTCGCCATGGGGCAGGGCGGGAGAAAAGCACGAGGGCGATGACGAGACAAAAGGTGGAGAAGACGAGGACAGCAGAGGCAGTGAGGAAAGGAGTCCACACATCCTTCGCACCCTAAGCGACAGCTCCTGCGCGCGAGGACGGGCATTCTGGCTGACGTGATCCATCCACCTGCAAGACTCTTCAAATGAGCCCACGCCCACGAGGGCTGGGAACGCGAGAGAATCGCCCTCAGGAGCGCCCACCTCGCTTCCATGTCTCGGGGGGCGGGGAGCTCCAGGGACGGGAACCAGGCATGGAGGCGACGGAGGAAGAGGAGGTGGAGGCGGTCGGGAAAGAGGCTCGAGGAAAGGGAACGGGAGAGGATACGCTGGGTCCTAGGTCGCCTTCCATCCTCCAAGGCCGCGCACCTTTCCTCCACCATCCTCCGCTCCGCTTCTCGGAGTGCAGTCCGAGAGAAAACGACGGAGGGGGAGGCATCAATGACAGACAGAACAAATTGGGCAATCGACCTACTTTGGGCCCAGCACAGCGGAGACCATTCCTCTCGAACATGACGCACAGTTGCACCATGCCACACATGCCATTCTCTCAAGAGAAGTGCGAAATCCTTGGCCTTCGTCCACGTGCGAAGCCCGAACCGCCACGCAGCAGAACGACCGAGGACCGCCATCGCCGCAGGCGCCGATCCAGGGAACCACTGTTGAAGGCTTAGGATCTCATCACGCTTAAACGTGTTTGGAGGAAGGCGCAGGAGCTTGTGCAGTAACCATTGCTCCCTTCGGAGGAGGAAGGAGGGGAGAGGAAAGAACTGAACGAAGTAAGACAGGACCGGAAGAGAGCAGGAGTTATACTGCCGAGCAGATGCTTCTGCAGGCGCCCGCGTCGATGCAGCGAGGCGCACTCGATGCGCGAGCTTCGTGCTTGCCGCTTCCCACTGCATTTCGAGCGTGGCCTCGGGACCGAACTGCATCCCCAGGTATTTGGCTCGGCCCCTGATGGGAAAGGCCGAAAAGGCCGGTGCAAAAGACCGAAGGCGGGACCCGACTAGGTCCAGCACCTCAGGGGAGGCACGGGTCCACAGCGGCACGACGAAGCATTTCTTGCTCTGCAGGCGCAAGTGCGCCAACTCCTGTGCAGCTGCAAACACGGGCGCAACGCGCGTCACCTCCTTCAGTGCAGGTAGTACCACTCCAACGTCATCCGCACATGCTCCAGCAATCAAAGGCGCCATCTCACCAGGGCCAGTCGCCATCGGGTAGCCAGTATTGCCGACATCGAACCCATCTGCTGCCATAACACTTCCGTAGCCCTCCACATTGCCATTGCACAGATGGTGCAGGAAGGGATCAAACGTCAACGCCCATAAGGAACCAGAAAGTGGGCAGCCTTGAGCCACCCCCGCCGATACATGAGAGAGAAATAGCAAGGACTCACCACACCAGGCCCAGCTTTGCATATCATGATACAGCGCCCGAATGGCCATGAGAAAGCCCGTGGCGATCTTATGATAGTCCAGTACAATCTGAATCCATACCCAGCTCATCGATAGAAAGGCAGCGCATACATCAAAAGAAATGAAAACAGGTTTGAGGTCACTCGCATACATATGTCCACCAGCCATGCGCGCACACGTGTCGAGCTCCGCGATGTGGGTGGTAAACTGTCTTCCACGGACAAAGCCACGCTGGACATGGTGGCATCTCCGTTCCGCAATGGTGCGTAACTGAACATTAATGGCACTGGCGATGGCCTTTGAGTCCGCGCTCTTCAGGGCAAGCGACCTTAGCTCATCAGGAGCCCGAACAAGATCGATCAGGTCCTCTGGCCGCTCATCTTTCGGAATGAAGCACAACAAGTGATGATTGAAGCCCGATGGGCAGCCAATACCGCTGAACATATCTAACATGACCAGATAAAGAGTCTCCACCGCGTCATCGTGGGCCAGCCACGCACGGTAGGGCAGCCTGTCTGGGCCAGGCGCACTGGGTTTGCCCTTGCGCAGGGCAGCTCTGAGGTCATCGATCGATGGCGGCCTGAGTTCAGGAGCAGGATAGACAGGAAGATGATCACAAGGATAACCATGGAGAACATCGCAAGACGGAGACTCCTTCGCTCTGAACACCTCCGCCCAGTGGCGTTGAAGCGCAGACGCCATGTCCACCGCTCCGCGGGCAGTCGTACCATCCGAAGAGCCCGTATGCCCAGCAGAAATACCAGCCCCAGGTTGGACATGCAACTCCTCACACACATCAGAGTCCGTCAAGAATCCACTCGCCAGTGAACACGAAGAAGAAGAGACCGATAGCAAAGACGACGTAGTAGAAGAGCGGCCAGAAGAGCCAACAGCGGCCGCTGAAACCGCAGGCTCGCGAGGCGCGGTCCCAGGGGAGGGCCCGACATTAAGGTCGCCACTGCTCGCAGGCGTGGTCCTACCACCAAGCGAGTCCGATACAGCGGCTTGGAGACTCCCCCCGCGCATCCCTACAGCGGTCGCTGAAACCGTAGACTCACGAGGCGCGGGGCGGCCGCCATTAAGGTCGCTCCTGCCAGTGGCAGCAGTCCGACCACCAGGCGAGTCCGATACAGCGGCGTGAAGGGATGCCTCATATATGTGAGACGCAGACTTCGCAGTGAAAGAAGGCGAGGATCCCATCCGTGTCGGGACACGCTCCCCCGATGACTGCTGAGTAGTGAGTCGTGTCACCTGCTCTTGGAAGCCCACAGGTGGAGCACAGATAACGTCTGCAACTGCAGGAGGCATCGTGGAATGGCCAGGCGAGTTGTGCCCGATACCGTTCAGCATAAGCTGGCGGCGCGAGTCACTCCATAGGCGTGCCCTCCTCGCTGACGTCCTCTGTATATTCCGCCACTGTTCCCGAGACAGTTCAGCAGGCTCGCGACGTTGAGAATCACCACGAAGCGCTTGGGCAGCCGCGTGGCGTTGGAGCCGTTCATGCCACTCAGCGTTCGCCCGAATGACCGTCTCAGCGAACTCCGAGGAATTCAAAAGAGAGGCTGCGCCATTGTCCACATACAGGGACCGCTGGCCGTACTCAGTATCATGTCGGAGCAACGATGCCAGATGAGTATCCTGCTGCCAAATGGCCCGAGCAATACAACGAAGCGTGATCCTCCTCGAGTCTCCAGCGCCATCACGCGAGGTATCCAGAGGCAGCTGTTGGAGCATGTTGCGCACACGTGCCGCTGCTCTGATCATGAAATCTTTGATGACAGACCAACGCTCAGCCACAGAGCAGCCAGTCCAGTCGGTGTGCGCCAGGTATTTGTTCAGCTCAACCTTGTACTCGGGCGCACGAAAGACATAATCGGGAATCGAACGCTCCGCGGGTGGTTTCTTCCCTCTCGGTCGAAGTTGGAGAAGAAGCAGAGCATGATCACTGAGATGCCAGCCAGACAGCCGCGTTGCTTCCTGTTGTACCGATAGCGTGGCCTCCATTTCGAGAATGAAAGGCGGCGTTAGCGAGATAAAGGACCTATCAATGGTCGAACATGCCTGGGTGCGCTTGCAGAAGTTTGTCGGCACGCCAGAGACCACCTCCACCATGCGAAAGTCAAACAGCGCACGCCAGAATGGTTGATGCTGTCGTCCACGAACTTCCACATCACGCCGAGCCGCAGGCCGCAGAAGGGAGTCTAGGGCAACATCCGCCACGTTGAAGCCGCCCATGGCAATGAAGCAACGATGCCGTTCATCTTGTTGGGCCCACGCAGCCGCGCGCCGCCGCAAGGTTCGCACCGCTTGGCGCGCCTGGGCGTCCAAATCAAAGTTATGTACATTCAAAATGTGAACGGCTTGACCAGCGCCTCGGACTTGTAGAGAGAGGATGCGTCCAGGAACCACACATCGGGGCAGAAATGACGGGATAACATCAGAGGGGAGCTTCACGAGATCCGCCCCCTTGTACCATGGAATCAAAATCGCAACACCTCCTCTCCCAGGTGACGAAGCTGCGCTGAAAAAAATCGGTACTCCTAAGGCAACTGCCTCAACAAAAAGCGTAAGTCTTATTCAGATCCATGCACTTCTTGAAGTAGAATGGCCGCTCTCCTGCGAAGAAAGGGTTCGAGCCTCTTGAGCTTCGAGCGACATAGAGCTCTCCTGCGTCCCTTGGAGCTGAGTCCACACAGGCCTCTGGCATTCCATGAGACGACCCTGACCTCTTGTCGAGACCCCTTCTCAAGCGTTTCAATCCGCCACGGCTGAGCCCATTGGTCAGGACCACGACCAGGAAAAGGTATCCACCGTCTCGAAGGCACGATTGAAGGCGGCCGTGATGCCCGCCACGTCCACTTGGTGCTGGGCGACCACCGCTTGATTCCATGCAAGTCTTGAAGGCTCGCTGGCACCTCTGACCACCACCTCGACCAGCGGCTGACCCTCGATGTGCACCAAGCCTCTTGCTCTGGTAGCCCACCAGCGTTTGTTGGGCATCTTCTCCTGAACGATAGCGGCCAATCGTTTGGGCTGCTGCTCACGTCTGATCTGCTTAAGGGCTTTGTCGGGGCCAACGTACAAAGGACCAGTAGCCCCAGAAAGCTGCCTAGCCGAGAACCTCCTCCATTCCCCCGAGGGGAAGCGGAGAGCCTTGGCCAAGGTGATGGCCTTAGAGATACCTGTCGCGCCACCTTTGACCTCCAAGACGAACCGTCTGCTGGGTCCCCGTCCGTGCAACACTGCATCCTCCGCATCAAGCTTGGCGTCGCTGATCCAAGAAGCGATGGTTCCGCGCACTTCATCGGGAGCAACATCATCGGGAGCGTTGATCGTGAAGATCGTGGGGTAGGGATCTCTGTCAAAGTCCGCGAGACGGGCGATGTCCACCGTTGAGTGTTCTTCCTCCGATAGCGCCAAGCGATTATTGATCCGATTGATGTCTGCGCGCATATATTTCTGGGCGTCCTCCATGGCGAGCTGCTTCCGCTGAAGGTCGCCAATGGCCAGGTCGTGTCCATCAACCCTCTGCATCGTCGGGGCGAAATGGGCCTGGAGCTGCGAGATGATCGTGCCCTGGGCGTGCTGCAGCGTGGTGGCAACAGCATTCTGGACTTGCGCGGTGATGTTCGCCGCGTGCGCCTGCAGCTGAGAAGCGACCACCTGCGAAACATAGGTGGCCCATTCAGGACCGCCCTCGGCTCCCTCACCATGTCCAGCAGGCACCGTAGAAGTGATGCCGTCTCGCGGCGTCGCTGTGCCCTCCACCTGTGCATGAGGTAAAGCAGGAGGAGTGAGAGTCGCATCAGCAGCAGTCCTAGCCCAGGGATCATGCGGATCAACACGCTGCTGCGAAGGCGGGAATGTGGGAACCTGCGAAAGCCGTACGCCATCCCGTTCCATCTCGAAGACCACATCCGCCATTCTCTGGTTCGCAGATGGCAGGGTGGGAATCCGAGAGTCTTCAGGTCCTTCATGATCTTGGCTCTGTCGTAAACCATCAGAGGCACTGCGTGGTGGGCGTCGGCGTCGGTCACCTCTTTCTGAGCGCTCACGACTGGGCTTGTCAGAGCCAGAGGAACCAGCAGACACAGAAGAAACAGACACATCATGATCACTCTCACGGCGCCTCCGACGCCGTTCCTTCTCCCTCTTCGACCGCCTCGCCGATCCGCCCATGGCACGCCAAAGAGAATATGACCGAAACCGCGCGACGGTGGGAGGGAAATGAATGAGGGCGCCCAACTCCCTCCGTGAAGGCGTAGAGAAACACCGTGGACTGGCCGCGGACCAGCGGTATCCATGCGGCCGCAGGGCGACATGGGTACCTTGAGCCAAAATGGCTACGGAAGAAGGAGGAGGGAGAGGAGGAGGAGGAGGCGGAGGGAGGAGAGAGGAAGGAGGAGGGAGGAGGGAGGAAGGAGGAGGGAGGAGGGAGGAGGAGGAGGAGGAGGAGAGGGAGGAGGAGGAGGAGGAGGAGGAGGAGGAGAGGAGGAGGAGGAGGAGGAGGAGGAGGAGAAGGAGGAGCAGAGGGAGGAGGAGGAGGTGGAGGAGGAGGAGGAGGAGGAGGAGGACGGGTCGCCTAAGCCCTTCGGAGAAACCCTCCCCCTTCGACGGGCCCCTGGGGCAGCCCAGGGGGCGGCCTCGGCACCGGGGGCGCTGGCGGAGGCGCCCCCCCCCCCTCCCCCGGGGTGCGCTCCGCGCCCCGGGCCAGAGCTGCGGCGCCAAGGCCGCCCCGGCCCACGGCGGGCTCGCGCCGCGCGTCGACTTCGGGCGCTGGCTCCCGGCACCGCGCGAGTCGGCTTCTGCGGCAACGCACGGGAGCTGTCTCACGAGCTCCTGCGAATCGACGATGGTCGACGCTGGTCAGCGCTCTTATCGACGCCAAGTCGGCGCTCTCTTTATCTCTCTCTCTCTCTCTCTCTCTCTCTCTCTCTCTCCCTCATCCATCACCAGACGCTGATCGGCGCCAACGCACTCTAAAGACGGAGTTGCGAGGGCATGGAAGGCTCCCACGATTTGCAACCGAACGCGGCCATCCGATGGCGCGGGCTGCTCGATGCAGGCGGAGCCCAGGCCACAGCAAGCACAAAGGCTCGCCGCCCCGTGGGCGCGGAGCCAGCCTGCCGTACCCTGGGGGCGCCCGTCGATGGAGGCCTCCCAGATGGGGTCCGAGTAGAGTAGATGGGGTCGAAGGATCGCGCCGCATCGCCGATGCATCGCCGATGCATCGCCGATGCATCGCCGATGCATCGGCGACGTCGGCGTGGGGAAGGACCGGCTCCACATCGAGCCGCATCGTCGATGCATCGGCGACGCCGCGCGATCCTCCGACACCGCCTGCTCGGGCCGAGGCCGTCTGGGGCAATATCTCGGGTCGGGCGAAAGGGGGGGATAGCAAAGGGGGGGTTTGAGAACCAGCTCACCTAGCTGACTTTCCCGGCGCCTCCCGGCGCCGGAGGCGGCTGTGTGTCGAGGAATGGGCCCCTCGGTGAGGCCGAAACCAGCTGCATGCAGCAAATTTCGTAACCCCCCCCTTCCCAATCCCCCCCTTTCGTCCGGGCCGAGGCCGTCTGGGGCCACATCCCAGAGCTGCTCGTGCCGCAGGGCACGAGCGCCTCGCCGGGAGGGCTGCGCCGAGAGCGGGGCGCCAGCGGGCCGGGCCCGAGGGCGGGACGGCCGGCTCTCCCGGAATTGGGCCTCCTCCTCCTGCCTCCCTCCTCCCTCCTCCCTCCTCCCTCCTCCCTCCCTCCTCCCTCCTCCCTCCTCCCTCCTCCTCCTCCTCCTCCTCCTCCGCCTCCTCCGCCTCCGCCTCCTCCTCCTCCTCCTCCTCCTCCTCCTCCTCCTCCTCCTCCTCCTCCTCCTCCTCGGGCGGCCCGCAGGATGCAGCGAGATCCCCAGGGGCAGCTCAGGCGCCGAAAGGATCCAGGCTCTGGGGGTCTGGGGAGCGACGCTCCCTGGGCTACGATGGGCTGCGACTGGCCTGCCTGGGCGCGATGTTCGGTCGTCGATGCGCGCGTAGAGTTAGGTCGGGCATGTCCTCCTACAGGGGGATTTGGGGGACAAAATATTTGAAAAATGATCCAAAATTGTCTCACACACACACAAAAAAAAAATGAAAAATCGTCCCCATACTATTTACTATCTTTGAATATTCCCCCTGTAGAGGGACAGGCCCGACTCAAGCCTGGGCGCAATGCTCGGTCGTCGATGCGCGCGTAGAGATTCGACGTAAAGACAGTTTTCGGCCAGAGCGCTGCTTGACAGTCACGCTGGTGAACAGATGAGTACACTGGCGGTAACAGCCTTCGCAGACATAGAGTCCAGGCAGGGCAGCAAAAACCACGGTGGTAGTGCATTCGATTCGCCTCCCTTGGGGAGGGAGGGAGGACAAGGAGGGGGGAAGACTGGGAGATGACGATGACAACGAAACTGGCCACGGTGGTTTCCGCTGCCACGATCAAGGCTGTAGCAATGAACACATCAACCACAGAGGCCTGGGCCAGCACCCTGATCAAATCCGAAGCGGGCTCAGAATCAGCCGTACACGTGCAGCCCCGTGCTTCTGCCGGGGAGCCCGCACAGTGCGAAGACCTGCGTGC